CGGAGGACCCAGTGGCACCGAGAGCTCCGCATGATCCAAACTCCACAAACCTCGGTGAGTGCGCCAGTCAAAGCCAACTCTCAGTCTCACTCTCTCTCTCTCTCTCTCTCTCTCTCTCTCTCGCTCTCGCTCTCTCTCCGTTGGCCCGCTCGAGTATGTACTTCCTCTCAATATTTTCCATCTATCTGAAATATAAGCAATGTCTCCTTGATGTGCTGCTTCTGCGTGCACTTGTGGTACTTCTCCACCGCGGCCTTGAGCTCTGTGACAGGCTGCAGCCTGGCATAGAGCTCACAAGGAGGGCATGAGCCAAGCTTCACGGGCGCTGATGCCAAAGAGCCATCACCCTGCTCCAGGTTCTCGCTGAACCTGGCGATGTAGTTCTTGATGGCATGCGGGTCCTTGTCCTTGAAGCACAACTTCATGCCCTCAAGCCGGATCTTAAGCATCAGCATCTCGCCTTCGAAATGCTTCTGTTCAGGCTCGGCCAAGTCTGCGACTAGCTGACTAGCTCCTTCGAACTTTGCTCTTGCTTCGAGAGCTGTTCCAAGGCCTTTGACTCAAACTGTTCCAGCTCAGCCGTCTTGGCACGCACACTGGCGGAAACCACCTTATCCCTTTCGACCCAAATCTCCTTGTCCTTCTCCTCCGGCAACGTCTCGGCAGCCTTGTCCTTGCCGTCCGTGTGATCGTCACACTCACCCTCCTCATCCTCATCCATGCCATCGGGCATCAGGTCGAGGACGTCCAGGATAAAGCCGGAGGCCCCTGCAAAGGTGTTCTCATTGCGAGCCATGGCCGCCGCAACCTCATCAAAATCCATACCCTGGCTATGATTCCTGAGCAGCTCTGGCCTGAGCCGGTCAACCTCGTCGTTAGTGGCCTTCTTCTTGGAATCGCCCTCACAGAGGACTTCCTTGGACTTCATGTAACTGCTGCGCTCGATGATCAAGTCCTGCGTCTTCACCCACACCCGTGGCTTTCCATCCGGGCCACCAAAGTCGTAGCGGACGTTCTTGTCCCTTTTCTTGATGGCGTCCATCCACTCAAGCCACTGCTTGGCAGCCTCTTCCTCCCGAAGCTTGCCGCCACGCGCGGTTTGCGCGTGTTCCATCCATAGCTTCTCCCACATCATCTCGCCCAACGTGTCCTTGATGATCCCGCTCGCAGCTGTGACTCGTTCTTGGTACTTCACCAAGGACCACACGCCCCGCTTGCGGCCACACACTGGGCCTTGATCATCGGCGGCCTCCGGGCAGAGCTCATGATAGCTCGCGAGCATGGCCTGGCTTCTATGACGAATTGCTTGGCCTTCTCCCCTTGGCGAGAAGCCTGTTTGGCTATATTGTCTAATGCACGTTTGCATTTCACACAGCCCGGCCAATTGTTGGCCGCTTCTCCGGGTTCCAAACGGGCCTTGCACCCCCGGCACTTCTTTACCAGAGTGCGCTTCACCGCCTTCTTGGGCTGTGGCTTGGCCTTGGCTTTGGCACCTCTGCCACGGCCAAGTTTGCCATGCAAGCCCGGGCCCTTCTCCTTCTCGGCACTGCTTGGACACCCCCGGCCCTTCTTCTTGGGCGGCGTGTGAGGATCCTCCTCCGCAGCCTCAGCCGCATCCCATGCATCATCAAGGCTGTCTCTGAGGAGTGCGGAAACTTCATCCTCAGCCATCTTGCGATCACCTAAGGCGATCCGCAACAGGGCTCACAGGTCAGGCTTTGGACTTCCTCAACAAAGATCTCCCGGCAATGGATACAAGTCTCTGTGTTGCCGGAAAACAAAACAGTGCAGAAGTACCAAATACTTGCGCACACACTCACACGCATGCACATAAACGAGAAAGCAGCTGCTCGCCCAAACATCGCCCCCCCAGCTCACCAGAACCCAAATGTTGGGTCATTCACATAGACAAATACCCCACCCGAAACCCACCTAAGGCTGCATGGGACCTGGCTGCATGCACCTGCACTTTTCTCAAGTTGCTTGCAGTGCTGTCGGAATCAAAATGCAAGCTGTCTGTCGTCTGTCGCTGCTCCCTTTCGGCCGCATCATGCAGAGCGCTTCTGACTCTGATGATCCTCTGATCCACTGACATCACGTGTCCTTGCTGTCGTCGGCTGTCGTTGGGGTTGGTCGTGCAGGGTGCATCTTTGTGATGATCATTGCATATGCAAACACGAGCCCAAACAGCCGGCAGTGCACAGAGTTGCCGAGCATGGCTTTCATCGCCCGATCTCCCAGCTTCTGCAGAACTTCATTCTCGAATGGGAATTCATGTTCTGCACTGCTCATCGAGATCTCAGGCACTGGCCACCCAAACGAGAAGAAGAGCATCTCGCGACGCTCTTGGCAAGACCAGATCCTGGAACCTCGAAGGATTGCCGGGATTGTGGATGACATGTTTTTCCGCACACTCACATTCTGGGAGAGATCCAACACCGGAGTTAAGCCACTCTCAGGCCCCCTGAGTTGTTGTGTCATCTCCTCCTCATACTTCAGCAACCGTGCCTTCACGCCCTGCGGCAAAACCTTGTATCCTGCATCAGCCTCACCATCTGCAAGCACGACATTGTTAGCACGAGCCTGAGCCTGCAAAGCCCACACAACATCTGCTTCAGGAGCACAAAAGAAATCATGCCCGGAGATCTGGGTCGTGCTGCCGGCCACAGCCCTGAAAGAGTCAGCTGTAAAGGCCTGCAGTAGCGAGAACCTGCCCGTGTTGATGGTCCATGTGATGTTGCGAGGCCGCCGCATGGGAACTCCCACCGCAGTTGGGCAAAGCTGCACACAGCTGGTTTGCCACCCAGCACGTGGCTCGAAAACGGTCTGCAAGCACTCCACGCTGTTAAAGCAGTGGCTGCATTCCTGCAGCAGCCAATCCACGCCAGAGTGCCGGGCCCTTGCCAGCCAGATTGCTGCTGGCACAGCAGAGTCATGTAGCCATTTTTCTCGATTCCCCTGAGGGGAAAAGGCAACGCAGGTGTTGCCGCCAAGCTCAAAGTGTATGTCGACAGGTGCTTTGGGTGGAAGGTAGGGGCACTCTTTCTTGCATGCCCAGCAATACCCTGTCTCCCTCATCTGTCCTTGTTTGCAGGCTTCCTTAGCGATCTGGATCAACTTTGACATAGAGCGAGTGCTTAGCTCTTCGATGCTGGCTGCCAGCTTGCGCTTCTCAGGCACGGTGTCTGCTGTTTTCAGTTCTTCTCGCAAGGCCCCGGCTCGCTGCCTCAAAGTGCTGACCACAAACTTCATCTTTGCAACAACACTCGGGTCACACTGATCACAAATGTCACCAAACAAGTGCATTGGCCGAAAGCTCTGCGAGCTCAAAATGAGCTCCCTGCAAGCCGGGCTTGTCTCAAAGCCCGACCAATGAACAAATGGACCGCAACGGCTTGCCTGAGGTTCTGGGCCTGAGTTGAGTCTCTCCCAATCCCACGGAGGCAAAACTCCTTCTGCAAGCCGAGCAAGAATGTGCTCGAAAGTGCACATGCCGGAATAGGCTGACGTGAGCCACATCTTTCGGTTCAGATTCTCTCGAAGCTGCGACCGCAACCCGGTTTGGGCTACCCAAGTACTTTCAATGTCTGCGATCTGCTGAGGCCACCGAAGAAGATCTGCCACTCCCCTGGGGCCGGCTTCAAACTCCTGTGTGCGTTGAGTCTCGATTCGCGCTTTCTTCAGAACCTGCCCTGCAGACTCGTCTTGCTTTGCATGTGCATACATGGCTCTTCGGCGGTCTACAAAAGTCTACAACGTTTTAGTCAAGGGTATCTGCTGCTGCAAGACATGACTCGACCCATGACCCATGTTGCTGGGGATGCTTTGGGGGCTTTGTGTCCTCCGAAACTACAAATGACAGCAAAACACCACAGCTCCTGCTCAGACATGTGAACGCGCACCCGTCATGGAAAACTCCGACACAGCGGGCCCACACCTCTCTGTTCTGTTCTGGACTGGACCGTTCCTGCCGCGACGGAGCACTTGGTCTCGACACGGGCTAAGTTTAGCTTCAATCTGCTGCACATGTGCGGCAAACATGCAAAACTGCTTCAGTCTGCTGCAGATGTGCTGCAAACATATATAAACTATTATAAACTGGTCAGACTAGCACACGACTCAGCACAAAGCCGGAAACATCGCAAAAGCAGTCGAAAAGGGCACCCTGGTCTTCTTTCAAGGCAACTGTCGCGCAAGCGTCGCGCAAGCGTCGCGCACCGTCGCGCACATGGATTTGGGCTCAGGGGGGCCCAAATACTATCACAAACAGGGTCGCGCACCTACCATTCGAGGCCCCAAATCGGTCGCGCACTCCAGAAACGACCAAAACCGGGTAACCGGGAAGAGTTCGCGCAAGTGTCGCGCAAGCGTCGCGCAAGCGTCGCGCACCGTCGCGCACTACTCCAGAGTCCCTAAGAGCATGCTTTTTTGTAGGACTGGGATAGAAATGGAGCCTCCTGCTTCACAAAGACACAAAAGCAGCCCTAGCAGCCACAAACACTTTGACCGGAACCCAAAACAGGCAACTGGCTCTCTGTCGTGACATGCAAGGCAGTCCCGCGGTCCGAAGCACCGCCATGCCACCAGAAGCTCAGCCTCGCCAAATTTGCTGCTGTGCCGAGCACACACTGCCGCGTCAAGCCGTTGACGAGCCGCTGAGAGCTAGGCATCTGGCCGACTGGACGAAGAAACACCATCCCCACCGCCAGAGTCCTGCCACGCACTGTCGATTGAATATTCAGTTGCACATATCTCGGAAACACACACTCGAGTCACTCAACATTTCGCTGAGAGATGCAGCTTCCTTAATGCTTCAGACTTGGCCAGAAACTGCCCAACTAAAACAAAGTCCACCGCCTGTGCACCGAGGTTTGTAGTGTGGTATATCATAGCACACACTGTTGACAGAGTCTCTAAGACACTTCATGCTTGTGTGCGTCAGTCGTGCAGCAGTCAGATGCAATGGCCACAAGAGTGCACTACCATCTGGTCAGGCCTCTCTGCTGCAAAATGCCAGCTCCTCTGTCAGGAGCTCCGAGACCGCTGCCTCCCAGCAAATGTTCCGAGCACAGCCCAAACCGCGAACAGAAAACCCGGCGGGACCACGAAACACGGCAACACGCCACACTGACAAGCAACCGTGAGCAAGCAAAGGTGCCTCCACGACAAAGATGCAGCCACAACGTGGCCACAAACTGCGACCATACGCCTGCCAAGGACACATGACAGGACACAGGACATCAACTTGGTGCCACCAGACTGCAGACTGCATCCCACAAACACAGGGCAACGGCCAGCTACTGCTGCAGACATTGGCATATACTGTGGGGGGCCTGTTCAGCTGCTGGAAGAGGAGCTCGATGAGGATGAAGACCGGGAACCTGCCGCACTCGCATCCGAATTGTCGGAACTGGACTCGGGATCACTGGCGGCTTCGTCTGCCGGAGAGGGCACGTCTGGACCGTCTGGAGGCTTCGCCTTTGCCTTTGCCTTGTTCTTTGCTGAGCTTGCGGCTTTGGCTCGTGCGGCACGAGCCTTGGGTCTACCTGCGGCTGCGGCCTTAGGTGCTGCAGAAGAAGCAGCAGCCTCTGCATCAAGCTGCACATCATTCTGGATCGCTTCAGTAGGCCCATGCTCAAGCTTCTGCTGGAGAACACAATAGCTGGCGCTGGGGTGTCTTCTTCTCGAATAGACATGCGGACGTGCTTCCGCTGTCTGTCAAATCGTTGGGCTTGATTAGCCCAATGACGCAGCCGAACGAGGACGCTCTCTTCATCTTCTTCATTGGGGCCGGACAAGCTGAGGAATTTTTTGCATCCACTCTTATCATTCAACGCGTGGAACGGGCAAACGATTTGGATTCCCCCAAAGGGTGGAGACGACTCGGAACTTTTCCTATGCAAGCTGAAAGGACCCCAGGCTGCCAACCGCGGTTTTGGGGGGGCCTTGGCTGATGCTTTCTTCTCTCTTCCTGCTGAAGGAGTGGCATGGTCTGCTGCTACATTTGGGCCTGGGTCAGGAACTGCCACTGCTTCATGCCTAGGACTAGGAGCCACAGGAGGCTCAGGGGGAGTGCGGTTGCCTGCAGCAGCCTCAGCAAAAACACGTCCGGCAGAGCTCGCTAAAGAAGCAGGTGAAGGAGCACGCTCATCCGCACCGTCACCCTCTGGGTCTGCTGCGGCCTCTGCATCAATTATGGCTTCGAGTTCTGCCATAAGCTCGTCGTCATCCACATCGTCGTCATCATCAACGCCCTCTCCCCCTTCCCACAGTCTCTCGCCCTCATCCTCAAGAAAAGCCCCGCCACCGTCATCGATCTGCTCTCCTACAGCTTCTGCTGCAGCGATTGCAAGCCTTCTCCTAGCTGTGTGCCTTGCATCAGAATCAACATTCTCGGCCTCGTCTACGTCTGCTTCCAAAGCCAGAGAAGCTCGCTTCTTGCCCTTGCGAGGCCGATCTAGCAAGGCCTGCACTGCTGCCTGTGGCTGCATGCCCGTCAGAATGGATTCATAGGCTTCTGCAGGAAGTGCATGAGGAATGGACTGAATGTCATGCTCTTCTTTCAACTTCTCAGCAGTTAGCAGGCAAAGCAAATAGCATTTGTTGACAGATACTCCAGCCGTATACCACTGCAAAGGCTCTCCCACAGAGTACCTCAGCTCACGGCGCTTTGCCTTTGCAGGAAGCAAAGACCATTCCCACCCCTCAGATTTCATGATTGCCATAAGCTCCATGACATCTAGGTCCATCAGAGGCAACGACCGGGCTTGGTTTAAAGGTTGTGGGGACTCAAGGCTGTGTCGAAAGTGCAAGCTCGCAACACCATCGGCTGTTAAGCGAGCTCCGAAGCAAGTCTTCTCTGCAAAACCTTCCTCAACCAAGGCCTGCAAAACCAAGTCTTCACTACTACCTCTGACTGGCACGACACCAAAGTTGCACCCTGCCAAAGCATTGTTCTCAACCATGCGCTGAAGCAGCTGACAAATGTCGGCTGGGGACACACCTTCAATGCCTGGCAACGCTAGCTGCACATTCCCTGGCCTCCGCCACAATTGTGCTTTGGCAAGGAAAGCATCTAGACCCAGTCTGTTGACATGCTCGCACAGATTGAGGACCTCTCCTCCAGGACCATCTGGCAGGGCTGAGACCTGTGGGGCCTCCGTGCTTCCAAAGTTCTCTAGCCTGGAAACCAAAATATCGTGTTTGCCCATGGCCGCAATTGTGCAGGGAGCATGCGAGGGCTGTCGGATGCTCGAAGGGCGGAGAATCAGAGGGACATAAAACCGATCTTCGATGGACAGCACAGCACTCGAATCCTGCGAGCAAGTTGAACGAACATATGCGATTCCTGCTTGTGCATAGAGCAAAGCCTGTGAAAGTTTTGGTTCTTTGGGCACAAATGCTTGCTTAGCCTGATCTAGAAGTTTCTTCTGCGATTTGTGCCACTGCACGGACTGTCGCAGGTCGCCATGCTGCACAGTTGCATCGCGATACAATATCGATCGCAAGACCTTCAAATGAGCACTGCTGGGTGCCCTGCGACGCTGGTGCGCCAATGCCTGGAAAGCCGGATGGGCTTTGAAGCAAGGAAAAACATCGCTGAAGCGCCTCACTTTGCGAGCAATCACAAACTCATCTAGCAAGGTTGCAAAGGAATCTGGTTTCAAGGACAGGCTGCGGTTGAGTTCTGGCGCTCTGAGCTGAATGGAAAGAGCTGTCATGCTGTGCCGCTTCGGGAGGGTGCCTAGATCCTTGTGCGCTCCTTCTATAATACGCTCAGCAGTCTGCACAAAGGTCAGGGGTGCCAAGTATTCTTCCAATCTCGGACAAGCGCTCAAAGGCTCGGATTCTGACACGAACCGCTGCAAATCATCCCGGAGGGGGCCTGGGGAGAACAACTCCTGGGCCATGACATGCTGCATGCTTCGGGCATCCTCTGGCAAGTCTTGCCACAAGCGCTGGGCTTCCTGCAAACATTTTCTTGCCTTCACAGGATCTGCATGGGTGCCGCCGAGGATTATCCAAGGCAGGGACTGATAGAAACCCAAACGGATTTTCAAGTTTTCACAAACAAACGCTGCTGCCTTGCTCCACTCTAGCTTCAGTCGACCCCAGGCATCCACAGACAAAGGATTTTGCAAGGCCGATGCAAAGTCAGCGAAACGCAGAGAGAAAACGGACTCAGCAAAGTGGAGTAGCTGGCCTGCAGCCATGTCTGCAGCTCTACACCCCATCAGTGGGCAACGGCATGCTACTTCTCTGGGACAGGAGATTTCGCGCCGCAGCTGAGTTTGCTGCCTGTGAGGGGGCACGCCAGACAACAAACTGCTATGACAAGAGCATCCTTCAACCCAACGCAGCAAGTTCCGAACCACATCTCGAAGTTGCAACTGCATGTGCCAGTATGCGCAAAAGTATTCATCCTTCAGTAGTTCTGTGATGCTACGACAGGAAAACTCGTCACCCTCCACCGCATCTTCCTGCAGACCACGAGAGTAAGCAACTGGGTCCCAGTGCTGCCTGAGAAAAACAAGAATGGGCAGCCCATCGCTCAAATAACCGGCTAGTTCTCCCCACCGCTCTTTGTGCAAAGTGCTACTAAACGACTCAAGAACTTTCTGCCCTGCTTCGTACAAAGGCGTGCCCGTAAGGACAACTTGCACAAAACGCTCCCGGCGCCTTTTGTTCCCTATCAATGAATCAAGCTTTTTCAAGGAAGTAAAAAACCACTCAAACTCACTGAGGGCATCATCAAGGTTCAAGCAGGCATTGTGAATGGCATGGCATGCTCCGGGCACTTGAATTGGGCTCTGGGCATGAAGTTGTGATTCTCAGGTCGCTCCGGCTGGGGTTCTACCGCTAGGCTCAAATCAACAAACCCATCATCATCACCCTCGGCTACGTGCAACCGCAAGGGGCGGATAAATGCAGGCAATGTGCTTTCCACACACTTGACTTGGCACTCTGGCATATGGCTCTCGACACCCATATCACTACACCACCCTACACAGGACCCCAAGTACCCTTCCAATGCCTCTAAGTCCCCGCACTCAAGCAAAGCCGAAAGCACGTGCGCCCCGACTTTGTCTACGAGCTGTGTGCGGCCTTGCCCCAGAAGCTGAGGAACTTGCGTGTGCATTTCTATGCGATCGAAGAGGGACTGCGATCGAACCGCTCGCTGCCTGTGTTTCTCTGCATCCGCAGGCATTTCATCCCCATCCTCTGCCGCTGCCTCCTCAGCTTTGTCTGCCTGGTTCATACAAAGCCACTTGAAAGACCTGGCAAGTTCCACTGCATCAGCTGCTGCAAGAAAGCGGTACCGCACATTGTAGATATCTTTGTGCCCTTTCGAAGTACTATCGCCCCAGATGTACCTGTGCACTGGACCCAACCTGGAAAGCTTTGCACGCTGGAACAACAACATGGCAATGTCAAGCATCACTCTACCATCGGCAAGGCTTGAGGAGGAAGCAAAATGCTCCCGTGCCCATGCCTCTGCACCTGGTCTAACTCCTGCTGGCAAACACTGCAGAAAGCGCAGAGCATGGCTCTTCAGCTGCCCCCGATTTCGAAGATCCAAGCTTGCAAGTATCTGTCTCAAAAAGGAATCATGTGAGGCAACAGAAGCAAACTTTCTAGCTGCATCGTCGGGAACAGTGCACAAAGACGTTTTGTGCCTTGTAACGTCAACAATGCATCGCAAAGCTTCTGAGCGGATGCCCTCAACATGATCAGAGTCTGCATCTGCTGAAATGATCTCCGAAAGCATCGACCGCATGACGGCTACACACCTTTCTGCTGCACTAGCATCGAGGCAAGCTGGTGGGAAAGGCTGGGACGGTGCTGCCCCTTTACGCTCCACAAGCCAATCCTCCGACAAACCCTCGCACAAGACAGGAAACCCGGGGTGGACCCAACGTGCTAAGAACACAAGGTTACGCAAACGGTTGCCGAAGACTAGTTGCCCAAGCGCTGGAGGCAGGAAAATGCAAGGAATTGCTTTCAGGGCCGCCTGCACTCCTTCGGGAAGTACGGATTGCAGTGCCCTAAAGCCATCGCTCGGTGAACTGCCTGCTGGATGCATGGACAGCGAGAACAGCGCATGGTCATCGCTGCCGCTGTCTTCCCCCAATTTCCAAGATTCAATCTTCACAAGACCAGCAGCAAGTCTCGGATGCACTGTCGTGCCGCTTGTCCGGACTCTGTTTGCCCTGTGCTGAACCCGTGTTCTTGTCAAAACTTCTGGCATGCTTTCCCACGAAGGAAAGAAAAAAGCTTCATGAACTTTTACAGCAAAAGCATCCCGAGCTCCCTGGAGGAAAGACTCCCGAATAAAATGCATTTCTTCTGTCCAGCCGGGCGTGCACAGATCTTCAAATTGCTTGCCTGCACTTACACAGATAAGACCGCGCAACAGTCCAACTGGATCACGACCGTGCACATGCTCTGGAATGTGTGAAACGTCCAAGCTTCGAAGTCTGCTCAACACTGACTGTGGAACGCTTGAAGGCAGCACAGTTCTGCCTCTATGCTTCTCGAACGCCACCCAGAGCCATTGCTTCCCCTGCTGCTGCATAAGAAACAAAGAAAACTTTTGAAACATGCTCACAACCAACACTGTTGCTATGTTTTCACGCCCTTGATCCTACCTGTGCCTGCTATACACCTCCTGTCTTTAATCTTCAAGCCTCGACGTACAAGAACACATGAAACTAAAGCTACAGACGCTTGCCTATGTTGCGGCTCTACTTTGAGCAGCTTGCGCGAGACGAAAACCGCGGAAATCCGACCCATTTCCTCTCAAAGCATTGTCAACGACCACATATAGGCGCTCAGAATTTGCAGCGACCTCCCAAGCCCCAGCCCTTCCGCCTGACTCGCACCAAAACACTGCCAGCCGACATGCTAGGAACAACGAGGGTGGTGGAGAAAAAAAGGAAGTGTTTGCAACTCCCCAACCCAACTCAGGAATGTCGGTTCAAGTGGGTTTCACAAAACCAATTCGGCCTGTGTCCTTTCCACACAAGGCATAGATTTGATCAATGTCAGTTAAACATTCAACGACGTTGCACTGTTGAGATGCTAGTGATAACTGCTGGATTGCTCAAACCATGCTTAGTGGCCAGGCTATGTCATGTTTCGCGACATGAACGTAATTTTTTACAGGAAGTGGAGTGCAGCTTCACTGTTTCACTGGTTTTGCCCTCCTAAAAGCACCAATCTCAAAAAGGTCCGTTAGTTTTGATGAAAATCCTGAAAACGATTTGCCGTAAATGTAAAAGTCTGCCAATGTAATCAGGTACGCATACGTTTCTGCTATTGGTATCTGAAGGGGGCGTCCCAGCAGGAAGTGTCGGATTTAATAGTCAAACGCCCCTAACCCAAAGAAAGCATGAATCAAGTCTCAACCCCAAACCCCGAGCCGGGACCCCCAACGAAACAAACGAATCTGGGCAGACCCCGCGGCTCGACACACCAGGCCTGTGCGGGCGTAGCGTCCAGACGGAGACACCTGCTGGCTCCGGAGACGGCGGCTTGTGGGTGTAGGGTCTTGGGGTGATTTCGCCGGGCCTGATTGGCTTCGACCCTAAACCCTAAACCCTAAACCCTAAGCCCTAAACCCTAAACCCCTAAACCCTAAACCCTAAACCCTAGACCCTGAACCCTTCTATGGAGGCTCGCAGGGTTCTTTTAAGGGCAGCTGAAAGGGGTTCTTTCGGCTGCGGGTTTCGGGGCTCCAGGGCTCAGATCTCACAGATGCTGGTTTAGGGTTCAGGGGTTTAGGTTTTAGGGTTTTAGGGCTTCAGGGTTTCAGGGTTTTAGGGTTTTAGGGATTTCGTGGGCTTGGGGCTTTAAGGGTTTTGGGGTTTTGGTGTTCAGGGGTTCAGAGGTCTACGTAAGGTCCAAGGTCCAAGGTCTAACGGGAATCCGGCCCTGGAAGGTGGTGAACCCACGGACACCAATATCCATCGATCATGGCAGAAGCCATACGTTCTATATATACATATACATATACATATACATATACATATACATATACCTATACCTATACCTATACAGATACATATACATATACATATATTCACATACATACATACATACATACATACATACAAACATACATACATACATACATACAACCAACATACATACATACATACATACATACATACATACATACATAGATACATACATAGATACATAGATAGATAGATAGATAGATAGACAGATAGATAGATAGATAGATAGTGCTCAGGGACCCTTTCTGCTGGGATGTTGGAATCTCTGCGAACGTTGTACAACTTCGGGGCTTTGTCTGACCTTCGAGGGCGACGGATTTGAAAAATGACTGCTGCAGATTTCAACAAACGCAGGGGCTAACGAAATTCCTTTATGTCGGGGGCTGTGGTGGTATCGTGCTTATTCTACACCCCGGTTTCAGGATGTGGGGTTTAGGGCCTCAGGAGGCTAGGGCTTATAAACCCTTAAACCCAGAAGCCCTAAACCCTAAACCCTAAAGCCCTAAACCCAAAGCCGCTAAAGCCCTAAACCCTAAACCCTATAAGCCCTAAGCCCCCAAACCCTACAAACCCTCTAAGCCAGTCTAGAAGACTCCAAGACATCCGAAAGCTTCGCCGAGTCCACGCCTCCGTCCTCAGCGAGCCAACGCCCACCGTCCGGAGGGGCTTGGTGATGGCCCCTTCGTCCCCAACCTCTGAGCCGATGAGATCCAACTCATGCATCCGGTTTTTGGTCTATTTTGAGGGTTTAGGGTTTAGGGTTTAGGGTTTGGGGCTTAGGGTTGAGGCTTTAGGGTTTAGGGTTCGGGGTTTAGGGCTTTCTGGGTTTAGGGTTTTGTGGTTTAGGTTTCGGGGTTTAGGGTTGAGGGTTTAGGGCTTGGGGTTTGGGGCTTAGGGTTGAGGGTTTAGGGTTTAGGGTTTGGGGTGTAGGATTTAGGGTTTGGGGTTTAGGGTGGAAGAGGCTTTTGAGCATATGAGTGTATATATATATATATATGCGTATGTATATATATATATGGCTGTTAAGGAGCCAATACTTCCAGTTATTATTCCAACCTAGACAACATGATCCCCATGGTACATTCATTTCAAACACCACCGTGAGTTGAGGATCTTCGAAGGAATGCAGCTGCTTTTGGCGGGAAACTCAAAATGAATCTAATCCCAACGCCCGGAACTCCCCAAAAACAGTCAATCCTCCACAACTCTCTGAGACTCGAATTATACGCCCTAAACACCGAAGCTCGGATCCCTGAGCTCTGACGCCAAACAGAACCCTTAACTCTAAACCCCAAACCCTGAACC